GAACGAACGTAACATGACGGCGTGCCATATGTCGAGAATGTTTGATCATGGGCCTTCGGCTAAGCCAATCAACTTAAACAATGAAGATCATTATCCACTGTTGACTGATAAATCCTGTTTGCCAATAATTTTGGGGGATTATCTACCACTATGACCTTGTGTTAAAATCCCTAAATGATTATATAGCTTTGAAGTTAGGTTAAGAAAAGAGGTCTCTGCTGACTTGTGTTCTAAATCGATCGATCAGTCCTCAATAACAAGTGAAGTCAATTTATGAATAAACTTGAGACAGGTTGTAGCCTTCGAGATTATTTAGATAACTCACCGCATAGAATATTATGCACGAACTATCACCACTCTCATTTTATGATAAGCAGCTTTTCTGATACTACTGTATGCAAAACTTTAGGTAAATTTTCAAATACTACACGAACTACTTTATTAATTTTAGTACTATCCACCGATGACAATAAAATGCATCAGGACAAGAGTATTCACCGGTACAATGCAATTGAATAACAAATACCTTATTATGTCATAACCAATCTGTCGGAATAAAAATAAAGTAAATTAGCACTGCAGTATTTTCCTTTTCAATGAAGGTACAGGTGAATTATACTGGAGAAAATCGGAAAACACGAACATTACATATACTATAGTGTAATGAAATCTTGTAGACTGAAATGTTTATCTAAGAGTTTTTTCATCGCCTTTATTCAGCGCTGACTTCAGAATGAAGGAAGCAAGTGTAAAAATCATCTACGCTAAGATGCACTTGCATGTGATTAGTTATATGTGAAGGAGGATTTTCTTATACTCTTGTTGATTTGTATTGCTACTGACTATTATTATTCATCTGACGTTTGAAAATGTCGTAAATTAACTTCTTTAGCCAATTTCATACAGGATACCAACATACTTATTAATTTAAGTGTTGGTTTGTAGGGATTTGATTGAATGGTTACAGGATTTCATCATGAGCTGACATTAGTTAGAGAACCATTGGAAAACCTACAGGGAGTACTTAATAGCTGTTTCCTCCCTCACAGTTTGGGACTCTCCAGCAGTACGCACCTACCACAGGGCGTTCGAACCCAGGACCTTCTAATTACAAGGCGATCTTGTAGACCTTTAAGCCACTGGGACGCGATCCAATGACCCATGAATTCTAACTTCTGCCAATTCACGACCTAGCCAATGTCTTTCTGGAGAGTATTTGTCCTCACACCCTACCTGCTGCACCCTCCTGGTCACGACTTCTCACTAGAACCCCAGGTAACTACCTACCAATATCAGCTCATGATGAAATCATGTAACCAACCAAATCCCTACAAACCAACACTTAAATATCGATGAGATGCTCACTAGCGACTTGCTCTATTCAGCTAAGTAGTCACCTGGGTTCGGGTGGGAAGTCGTGACCAGTAATGTGCGGCAGGTCGGGTGTGAGGACAAATACTCGCCACTGAAGACATTGGCTACGGGTCGCGCTATGTTGTGCGTGGATTGGCAGAAGTTAGAATTCATGGGCCATTGGATTGGGTCCCAGTGGCTTATTGGTATACGAGCTCGCCTTGTAACCAGGTCATGGGCTCGAACCCCTGTGGCGGGTGTACACTGATGGAGAGTCCCAAACTATGACGAAACAGATGTCCAGTATTCCCTGCAGGTTTTCCAATGGTTCTCTAACAAATGTCAGCTCATGATGAAATCCTGCACTTATTAATTCTTCAAAAACTGAATTCTTAACGCCTGAAACACTGCAGACTCATCCTATTTGTCACCGATGGTACGAAATTAAGACAATAACCGAAAGTTGGGACAAGTAGCGATAAAGTAATTTAGATATATGTGTCAATAACAAATGTTTAATTCTTGAGTTCATTGGCAAACTAACCAGTAGACATCAAATTCAGGGGAGCAATCCACAAGGTCGCTCCTTTGTCAACTATATGTTATTCTAACAACCCCTTTCTCAGGCGTGAGGCTAGCAACCCAACCCTGTAAACAAAACTGCTACAGAAACTTCAGCACGATGAGTCTATTTGTGTCAAAAGAAAAATTCCATGTGTGGGGGGACGTGGCACGTCCGCACCATGTATGAGACTGATAAAGCAGCCCAAATTGTTAATGAGATGAAAAGATACGGAATTCAAGAACTGGATATATGTGAAAGCAGATGACATGGGGAATCTTTGATCTACTCCGGTCACCTAGAAGACAAATGCATGCAAACCGATGGTGTGGCTATATCATGATGTCACCAACGGAAACGAAGGCCTTGATGCAATGGGAGGCGATCTTGCCCAGGATAATGACCGCCTGATTCAACTCCAAAGAAAAGAAAGTGTCAGTTATACAATGTGCTATGCACCCACAAACAACGCAGACCTCGAGAAGAACAAAGAGTTCTACAGACAACTACAGGTAACATTTAGATATGATGGAGAATATTTGTAGCTTGGGTGGATGATTTTGATGTGGTTGTATTCTCTAAGCTGGGTAGTCGATCTGCGAAGCTTTCATTGCCCCACCACTAGGCGACATCTTCAGTGCATACTTCAATTTCCTGAAGTGAACTGTTTGGATTTCTCCACGAGTTTATTAATCATCTCTCCCGGTGACCTTGGGAATAATAATAGTACAAGAAGGGTTTACAAGGCAGGCAGCATCTTTCATTGGCCCACTTACCACAGTCTTCACCACCTACAGCTGTTCATAGAATTGTGACAAATCATTCGATTTCAGAGCTGAGTGAGTTACTATTCATTCTGTGAAGTTTGCTTAATAAATACAGATACATGTTTCTGATTAACGTCATATAACCATGAGAAAGCAGTTCTCAGCATTTTTCTGAGTGGATCATTTCACCGTTTAACTTAAGAATATTTACAGCTTAAATCTGTTCGAGTTTTTAAATACACTTTTTCCAGTATGGTAATAGTAGTAAACAATTAAGAAAATTTTGTTTGTTACTTTGAATTTCCTAACCACTCACTTTCATTATACGAGGGGACTGTGAAAATAAGTGCGTAAAGTAATAACGTTTTTATTTCTGTTTGGGGATTTTTAGGAATAATTATCTATAACTTAGACTGGACACGATAATGCTGCAAGCCAAGTAATCCACAATGGGAAACTCACGGAATCCTTCGAAGTAAAAACACGAGTAAGACAAATAGGCTGTCTACTAAACATCTCCAATGATTTTCCTGATTGTGGGCGGTAGACTGGATAATGCGACAGACAGCAGTGGGCAGCGAGGAAACAGACATAAAATGGACCGACACAAAGAAAGAACTTGGAAGATCTGAATTTAGCCGATGACATATATATGTCTGATTTCTCACAAACTAGAAGATATGCAAGTGAAAAGCAACAAGTTGGCAGAAAAAGCATCCTGAGAAGATAGGACTTCCTTCAGGTGAACATAGAGAGAACAGAGGGGATGAAAATTCCTGGCCAAAAGAAACACCAACAACAACAGACAGCATAAGTGGGAGCAATCCGACAGAAGTAACCTTCACCTACCTTCCTATCTGGAAAGGGTCGTCATTTCACTTACAAGTGAACGGAACTGATGAGGATATCAGGGCGAGGATGATCGGGAACGCAAGACAAGCTTTCATTACTCTCAAGTCTGTAGGTAGATCAACAGCACTCAGGATGAAAAACAAGATGAGAATTTTTTAACTTCGATGTGAAGTCAGTGCTACTCACTATGCGGATCAGAGACTAGGCGCCGCGTCACGAAGGGCACCTCGAACAAACCTACAGGCCTTCACTCGACACTTCGCTGATGATTAGTAATTAACGTCAATGTTGATGTACCCAATCTTGGTCATGAGAAAAAACAGCAATAAATCCTGACCTTGAGGAACTCAACAACCATTACGGCAGACTTAGCATGGGTGGATACGATCAGCACATATATGATCTGACCTTCAGAGAAATGGCCGCAAAGAGATAACAGAATAACTTCCAGCGAGAAAATAACCAATCGGAAGACGGTATTTCTCTGCTAATAATAATGAATAATGATGTACATAAAAATATATAAATATCTTTTGATTAAGTAAACGATCTGTTGCCTGGCTCCTGTCTTCTGTTGTTACACCTTGTTTTGTTTATAGATTCACATTAATCCTTTATTATAGATTGATGTGAGTAGCTTTCAGATAATATATTATTGTAAAACCTAATTAATTTTGTTTCCATTCAGTGTAATCCATCGTCAACAGTACAATAACTACTTCTTGGTTAACGACCTCGAATGAATTATAATTTCTTCACAAATGTTTATTATTCATTTCTATTCTCCTCTTTATTGACGAATTAATTGATGAATAAGATAAATTTTATGTCAAATAAAAGGTAAAAGGGCTTGACATTCTCAAGGTAATAAATAAGTTGGAGACCAAGAGACTAAAGCTCAAATAATGTTACTGCTATCCTTCACAGTTTGAATTATATACTCATCAAACACCGTGACACAGATAATATTCACCCATAGCAACATATTATCATGTATCGTAAATACTTCAGTTTATATCAGAGATTTAAAAACATATGCACATTATATAAGTGACCTTTAAAAGAAAAGATAGAATTAATCTGATTGGTTGTAAATTTATTCAAAACATTTAAATAAGAAATTAACTGGAAAGTAATAAAAATCAATGAAAATTTCAAAAACAACTCGGATGTACACACACAGACACACACGCTAGTTCACCACCACTTTCCCAAAAGAACACAAAAACGAAAAGAAGAAGAAGGAAGAGAGACAGACAGACAGACAGACGGAAACGGAAAGCCACGGGTACGATATGAAATAAGATATCACATAAGAAATTAGGAGAGACAATACAATGAAATTAAAGAAGAAGAAGAACAAGAACAAAAGAAATACAAAACTCAGATGTTTTAAAAATAGTATATCATTGGTGAGCAGTTGACTACAGTCTCTTCCTTTAGCAACAATAACACAAAAAAGATATTTAAGGCTTGTTTAACACAACAGGAAGCTGATTAACTGGATCGACAACTGGTGGTGAATTATGATCAGCAGGTAACTTACTACTACTACTACTAGTAGTAGTTGTCGTGTTATTATTCATAGGCAGCAGAAATGAGAGTAGCATCCATATATGAAGTATTAATAAATAGGATATCGTAATAAGACGAATTATTGGGATACGACGAAATGTATTCGCCATACGAATACCAAAGTTATCTATCCGATAAGCCAATAATTTCAGTTGTTTCGGCATTGGTGAATTCTATTCAGTAATAATAATAATAATAATAATTTGGTAAAGCAGAAAAGGTACAATCATATCGATGCTGTAATAAATAAAATGAGGTGAACAAAAAAACTGCAAAAGTGGAAAATAACCCCCCCCCTCCCCCTCCCAGGATTACAGCTAAATACCTAAATGATGAAAAGTAACTCTTATGTACATCATATCTTCAAAAATGTCTTCAACTTCGTCTTGACATTAACTCTACAGCAGAGTTATTTCATGTTGGTAAGTCTGATGACGATAACCGGTCGCCCGGCCGACAACCGCTACCTTGTCGTGGTGGTCAAGGCTTGAGTACGGCACACTGAACCAACAAGTTAAACTGGCTGGAATTCATGTTCCTACAGGTCCTACCAACCATGTTAGAAAGGTTGTTTGGATAGCGGTTAGACTAAAAGCAATTGCCATGGGTTACGTGGGCTCCAGAATCCAATAAAAACCAAATGGCATATGAACGTATATTAATCACCGGACACCATAGGAACGCAGCTCCTGACGCTGATATGCTGCCTTGCGGATTAGGCTCTAAGTCAAAAGCTCCGGCGGTGGTCGCGCTGCCTCAGTCTGCGCGCCCAAACAGTATCTCACACCTCACACGATAAGTGGAATGAAGCGAAAAACTACCAGTGAAACTTATCGCGAGCTCGTAGTAATGCTTTCAAGCAGTTATTATATCTGAAGTGACACATCTTTTTCCAACATTATTTTTATACATAGACTCCTGTATTTTACCATCGCTAACCTTGACGTCTACACACAATGGACAGCCTTTCGCCTTTGCCTTAATTCCCAGTCTATGCCTGCCGTTTCATGCAGTTAGTTAGTAGCCTACTCCCTAGTTGGAGCCCGAGAGAGACCGCGAATTGAAAGCTCAAAACAGTATGGGATGTGGCCAAGAACAGTAATCACTTGCGATTGTGCCGCATATTCGTTCCTTCGTCCCTTCCTCATAATAACTGACCAATTCTGTTACGACATGTTAAGTATGGCTGTTTACCTTCCTAATGAAGTTCCTTATCAGTTTTGTAAACATTTTTATTTTTAATTCAATTCCCTCTAATAAAATTCTGGCGGATTGTTTTGGTGCAAAAAACTAACACGTTTCTATGCGTTTCAACAATAAAACAAAATGGGAAGTTCCTGAATGCAGTGACTGGACCACCAATAAAAACACAAAGCCCGAAGAGCACAGTTTTTCCAAATTTCAGAATACGTGAACCATTAAAAAGGCTACAGATTACTGAAAACTTTAATGAAATTACATCAACCTAACTTTCTGAGGTGTACGACATAGTGAAACACAATTATTATTATTTACTGGATGACAAGGTTTCGAACACAATTTATTATTGTTGTTCATAATCATATCATCAATTATAATTAATCACACGACTTCGAAACTTGAGTTTTATAGTTGTTTTCTTTATTCTCTCCCATTTGTCGTGGTTGTAGAATTGGTAGTAGAATTTTCCAGATGTCTGGGTGGACAGGTGTTGAACCATTCCTAACACATGCAGCATTTCCAGTTGATTTGATAGACAAAGCCTCCATTGTTATCAATCTTCCCAACTCACCACTCTGTTACATTAGATTTTAAAACTGTCATCCTACCCCATCCATCCTATGGTATGGTTGTGTGTAATTGCATGTAGTGAGTGCTGTCTGTCTACGGCTGAATTATTGTCTAGATTTTTAATCCTATTCGGGTCAACCAATCTAGATTTTGGTGCTAGGTTTTTATGCTGGGCTAGTCTGACTGACTGCCTCTGTTCCACTGCTTTGACCTATGTATTTGACCTGACAATCATTGCAGGTAGAGAGCGCGTATTAGATAAACTGAATTGTTTTGTTCTAAAGGCTCTTCCATAGGAGGGATCTTCTAACCCACGAAGCTTGTTTCTAATTGAGTTTGTGGGTGGTTTGAATGACAGCGACTTTTATTCCTGCCTGTCTTGTTAAGAATTCTGCGTCAGGTGGTTTCCGAGGTTCCTTCCTTGCATGGAAATACTACTGATGATTTAGATTCCTTATTGTTGGTGTTGTGGCTTTCGCATATTTAACATGCATGTCGTCATTATTACTATTATTATTGTTATTACTGCCACTATCAATACTATGATTATTTATTTTATTTTTACGCTTCCTTACATATTTCCTAACTAATTTATCCGGGTAATTATTAAGTTTCAAGGCTTCTATTATGTGTATCACTTCCTGTCTTAGATTTTCCTTGGTACTACTTAGTTTTTGTGCTCTGTCACTTAAACATTTCACCAATCCTATTTTTACTGACACAGGAGGGGATGATCGGAAGTTCAAATATCTGTTTGAATGTGTAGGTTTCCAGTACACACCAGTGTGTTTAACTTTCCATCTTCTTTCCTCCTTTTTACGCCACAATCTAACATTGGGAGCTCGCTGACGTTCTGACTTCCCGATTCATAAGTGAATTGAATTGCCTCCACCTTTGAGTTAATGTGTTCGAAAAATCTATGTAAATCCTGGTACCTAAACAAAATGTATTAATAATGTAACTTCTCCACTATTCTCTGGTGGTTAGCATCAACTTATGGCAAAAACTAACAACCTCAGTACAACATATGATATTTTTATACTTAGTTCTCAGACCACCATCTCCCACTAACTTCACAGTTGATTTTACAAATTCTCCTACTTGTGAATTGTCCGAATATTATTTACCTATGGCATTAAATCCTATTCGGAAACCACTCAAAATCTAGACTCCCCAATTCTAATGAACTGAAACACAGACTGGATTAGTTAAAGTCACGTAGACAAGGTGAAAAGATGGTTGTTAGTTTCCACATCACATCAGTCTATACACGCAAATACCGATAAATACGGTCACAGATTCGGTCAGAAACAGACTCATATCGGATCTAAAACTTCAAATTGCAACAAAAGTACCACTAGAAGGGATCATACTAGGAGTGCACCTATATCTGCCTTCTACATCGTTTCAATTCCAAGGGAAAGAGTACAAACAAACTGAGAGTACTGGCAACGAACGGATCATCAATATCTCCCACAGTCACAGGTTCATTTGTGGATACATTGGAAAACTTAGTGACTGAGACGTCCGTACTCAACCCCAAAATATGGCGGATGTATGCAGACAACATATTCAAAGTGGTTAACTAAGTGTAGTAGTGCCAAGGGATTTCTCAATCGAAGACTTAGAGTCAGTCAACACTAATAACGACAACAAGAAATTAGAGAAGACAAACAAAACTAACACTCTTACCCAGAAACATCAGATGGCGCCATTAACAGGTGCTTTCGCAAGCCTCTTTGTATTGCGACGTTTCGACATGTCCCTGTAAAAACTGGTGAACTAATCTTTACGGCATTAAATAATTCCTCAACTGAAGGGAATGCTCCAAAAGATGGCTGTGCCCCACATGACAAACACAAGTCTGGATCACATTCTCTAACAGCCAAAACAGCATACTCTCGCATTACACTGACCGTGACAACGACATCCTCGAAACCTATTCGTACAAATAGGCACATATTGTGCGAATAGGCACAATATGTGCCTATTTGTACGAATAGGTTTCGAGGATGTCGTTGTCACGGTCAGTGTAATGCGAGAGTATGCTGTTTTGGCTGTTAGAGAATGTGATCCAGACTTGTGTTTGTCATGTGGGGCACAGCCATCTTTTGGAGCATTCCCTTCAGTTGAGGAATTATTTAATGCCGTAAAGATTAGTTCACCAGTTTTTACAGGGACATGTCGAAACGTCGCAATACAAAGAGGCTTGCGAAAGCACCTGTTAATGGCGCCATCTGATGTTTCTGGGTAAGAGTGTTAGTTTTGTTTGTCTTCTCTAATTTCTTGTTGTCGTTATTAGTGTTGACTGACTCTAAGTCTTCGATTGAGAAATCCCTTGGCACTACTACACTTAGTTAACCACTTTGAATATGTTGTCTGCATACATCCGCCATATTTTGGGGTTGAGTACGGACGTCTCAGTCACTAAGTTTTCCAATGTATCCACAAATGAACCTGTGACTGTGGGAGATATTGATGATCCGTTCGTTGCCAGTACTCTCAGTTTGTTTGTACTCTTTCCCTTGGAATTGAAACGATGTAGAAGGCAGATATAGGTGCACTCCTAGTATGATCCCTTCTAGTGGTACTTTTGTTGCAATTTGAAGTTTTAGATCCGATATGAGTCTGTTTCTGACCGAATCTGTGACCGTATTTATCGGTATTTGCGTGTATAGACTGATGTGATGTGGAAACTAACAACCATCTTTTCACCTTGTCTACGTGACTTTAACTAATCCAGTCTGTGTTTCAGTTCATTAGAATTGGGGAGTCTAGATTTTGAGTGGTTTCCGAATAGGATTTAATGCCATAGGTAAATAATATTCGGACAATTCACAAGTAGGAGAATTTGTAAAATCAACTGTGAAGTTAGTGGGAGATGGTGGTCTGAGAACTAAGTATAAAAATATCATATGTTGTACTGAGGTTGTTAGTTTTTGCCATAAGTTGATGCTAACCACCAGAGAATAGTGGAGAAGTTACATTATTAATACATTTTGTTTAGGTACCAGGATTTACATAGATTTTTCGAACACATTAACTCAAAGGTGGAGGCAATTCAATTCACTTATGAATCGGGAAGTCAGAACGTCAGCGAGCTCCCAATGTTAGATTGTGGCGTAAAAAGGAGGAAAGAAGATGGAAAGTTAAACGCACTGGTGTGTACTGGAAACCTACACATTCAAACAGATATTTGAACTTCCGATCATCCCCTCCTGTGTCAGTAAAAATAGGATTGGTGAAATGTTTAAGTGACAGAGCACAAAAACTAAGTAGTACCAAGGAAAATCTAAGACAGGAAGTGATACACATAAAATAAGCCTTGAAACTTAATAATTACCCGGATAAATTAGTTAGGAAATATGTAAGGAAGCGTAAAAATAAAATAAATAATCATAGTATTGATAGTGGCAGTAATAACAATAATAATAGTAATAATGACGACATGCATGTTAAATATGCGAAAGCCACAACACCAACAATAAGGAATCTAAATCATCAGTAGTATTTCCATGCAAGGAAGGAACCTCGGAAACCACCTGACGCAGAATTCTTAACAAGACAGGCAGGAATAAAAGTCGCTGTCATTCAAACCACTCACAAACTCAATTAGAAACAAGCTTCGTGGGTTAGAAGATCCCTCCTATGGAGGAGCCTTTAGAACAAAACAATTCAGTTTATCTAATACGCGCTCTCTACCTGCAATGATTGTCAGGTCAAATACATAGGTCAAAGCAGTGGAACAGAGGCAGTCAGTCAGACTAGCCCAGCATAAAAACCTAGCACCAAAATCTAGATTGGTTGACCCGAATAGGATTAAAAATCTAGACAATAATTCAGCCGTAGACAGACAGCACTCACTACATGCAATTACACACAACCATACCATAGGATGGATGGGGTAGGATGACAGTTTTAAAATCTAATGTAACAGAGTGGTGAGTTGGGAAGATTGATAACAATGGAGGCTTTGTCTATCGAATCAACTGGAAATGCTGCATGTGTTAGGAATGGTTCAACACCTGTCCACCCAGACATCTGGAAAATTCTACTACCAATTCTACAACCACGACAAATGGGAGAGAATAAAGAAAACAACTATAAAACTCAAGTTTCGAAGTCGTGTGATTAATTATAATTGATGATATGATTATGAACAACAATAATAAATTGTGTTCGAAACCTTGTCATCCAGTAAATAATAATAATTCTGTTTCATTGTGATACATCTAATAAACACGCTAATATGGAATTACTTACGACCTCACTGCCCAAGTTTTACGCATATATTAATTTAATGAAAGATTTTCGCCATTTTACTGGGATTATATTGAACTTTAAGAATGTTCTACTTTCGAAAAATACTAGCTGATAAAGCTTGTACATTAAGTGGTTAAAATTTTCGGAATTTTCAACACCTTACAAACTTACCTAACGTCTTTGCTGTTCAACCTCGAGGGATTACCTCTAGAGAAGAGAAACGCTCGTCAGTTTTTCATCCAATGTGTCGTGTCATCGGTTTCCAGTTGGTAATGTCAGTTTTTCTGTTATTGACAATCGTCAAGATATCCTGAGCCACTCGTAGCTGTATCCTTTAGTCAGTGAACACCAACCAACCTCATGTGGAACTGTATTAGTCCTACTGACTAGTCCAGTTACGAGGAAGTAAGTCATTGTCAAAGTCGCATAAATCATAACTCGTCCGGGGGTTTAATGAAAAGGGTATAATATTCATGTCTCAAATCCTCATATCCATTACACTGTTTGGTGTAGAAAACAACATCTTACTTCAAGTGTGTTGGTGTTTTGTGTCACCGCCCTACACAAATCTCCAGTAGATCACTGCACAGAGATACAGTATCTGTGGCCTGGATAGAAATAAAGATGGTGTCTGTACCAAAGTCATCTTCTAGATCAGGTTTGAAGTTTACGCGAACCTCTACCATGTCTCGATTTTTGAAAACCATGCAGGAACTTCTCTTGAATAGTCTTAAACCTTCCTTAAAATCTTTTAGTGATATAAAGCGGTTTGCTTACAAGTGCGGTACGCGCACTTTGAATGATGTCGTTCTACTCTATCAGAGTACTCGCTCAAGTCTTGAGAAAGATGCAAAGTTTGTCCAAGCCTCCATTTTAGACTACACTACTCTACTCTATTCTCAGGGCATTTCTACTCACCAAGATGATGTCAGCATGTACTGACTTTATGGGTCACGAGGTGTCTGTCTGTCTTCTTATTTTTCGGGTAGTGGTTTATGAAAAGTGAAAGCGCTCCACTTTGATGCTAACGAAAAAAACAAACTAGTGTGCCTCAAGACTCTGTACTCTCTCTCTTCATTCCGTTTTTGCTTTTTTTTCACATAACCTACTCTTTCTGGATTCTTCCAAAGCTAACTTCATTCATCAAAATATCCCGATGATCTGACCATTTCTGTCCCAGTAGTTTCCGCTTTGGACTGTTCTTATCATCTCAATTTAACAAGTGGTCGTCTCACCTAAATGGTCTTAAACTGAATCTAACAGAAAGTTATACTGTTGATTTTAGTTTCTTTCACATGTGAACAAGACTTCCGTGGACTGACTGATTCAGTCACATGATTCCTGTAAGATATTGACGGCAGTGTCATAGAGTAGAGAATAAATCGAATTTCTATCATCTAGACGTCAGTTTCTCTTCGAATCTCTCTTGGTCGTCTCACATCCTGTTGATTTCTAAAAAAAATTTTACGCTTACCTTATTACACATAAAGAACTTGAGACTTTCTGGCATCATAACTCAACCTCTTCTCCTACGATTTATTGTTGATCCATGCATTCTGCCCCTTCATTTTCTCTCTTGTTCGTCCCTATTCTTCCCTGGAACTCTCAAAAAACACTGTAACATATTACATAAAGGCTTTAGGTAGAGTTAGTGGTGTGCACCTTTGAGTCAGCGAACTGAAATTATTGTCAATAGATACTTTCAATTCTTGTAAGCGGTTGCGCTAAATTTATGTTGCCTGAAACCGAACATCCTCTCCACTTATTCACAACTTTCGCCTTAGTGAATATCTTCGGAGGTGAAACTAGAAATTTCATAAGAATTTATGCTTATTACGGCCACTAAATATAAAAAAATTCTACCATACCACCACCACATTTAAGCACGGATTTTCTGTGAACTAACTGAACTGCAAGACATAGGCAGACATTATCATTATTATTGTTATTACTACATGTATTATATATTATGTTATATACTTGTAATTCATGAGTTCCCCCAAAACTTCCAGTTTTGTGTGGTTTTGTTATACATACATATTTTTTAAATTTTACGTATCTGCATATACATATAAAAGGAGTCAAAAATTGTTGCAATATGTACAGAAAACGCTGGAAAAAATCCCATGCAGTTTAATGAAAGTTGTTTGGAATGAAGTGATTTGTAGTAAGTCTCCAGACAGACTGTAGATGTTACTAATTTCCTGGAATAATTTGGCCACTGAGTCAGAGTGAGCCATTATGGAAATTATTCAAAATAATCCCCGCGTTGTGTTTAAGGAAAATTCACAATCAAAACAAGATCTGTTTTCTGAACGTTTCGCTGTGTAAGCCCCATCACAGTTTCTTCAAGAGTAGACAGGTGAAGGTCAGAATGAATGAACATAGAAAATGCACGAAGTATCCACATTAGAAATGAAGTGGAATTAAACGGTCTTGACAAATGATCAGCTATAGCAATGCATGCTCCCGTCGACGCCAAGTAAAATCCTGGAGAGAATTAAGGACGCATTGGATACAGAACTCCGACCAGAACAAGCTGGATTCAGGAAAGGCAAATCATGTTCTGACCAAATTGCAACTCTACGCGTCATCATCGAACAAAGCATGGAATGGTAATCAAACCTCTACCTCAACTTTGTAGACTTTGAGAAGACCTTCGACAACGTTGAACGCGAAGTAATTCGGGAACTACTCGGGTACTACGGCGTACAGTGCCCCAAATATTCATCAACCTTATTCAACAGCTGTACGACAACGGCACATGTCAAGTCATCCACAACGGAAAACTCAGCGAGGCGTTCGGAGTCCGACAAGGGTGCTTATTATCCATCACCAATGATATTCCTAATGGTGGTGAACTGACTGGATTATGCGTCAGATAGTGGGAAACGAGCAGGCAGGGATATTCTAGACCGAACGACGTCTGCATGGATGTTTGAGTAAATGTTATTTGTCATATGGAAAAGACGTCAATTCACATATGACAAACATGATAATATTTTTATCGAGGACACAGAAGTTTTCGTTGTTCTCTCATTTGTCTGACTTCATTTGAGTCTGACGTATAGGTGGGTGATCAGTCTCTCCCTTCTCTCCTAATAATTACTCCACTTGATGTGGTTGATATGTGCAAGACTTCAAAGGTCAGTCTTTCTTTATGTTACAGAAAGCCTCTTCCTAGAATTTCAACATTGTCGAAATCAATCTTATGTCCACTCGCTATCGCATACATTGCTATAGCTGATCATTTGTCAAGACCGTTTAATTCCACTTCATTTCTAATGTGGATACTTCGTGCATTTTCTATGTTCATTCATTCTGACCTTCACCTGTCTACTCTTGAAGAAACTGTGATGGGGCTTACACAGCGAAACGTTCAGAAAACAGATCTTGTTTTGATTGTGAATTTTCCTTAAACACAACGCGGGGATTATTTTGAATAATTTCCATAATGGCTCACTCTGACTCAGTGGCCAAATTATTCCAGGAAATTAGTAACATCTACAGTCTGTCTGGAGACTTACTACAAATCACTTCATTCCAAACAACTTTCATTAAACTGCATGGGATTTTTTCCAGCGTTTTCTGTACATATTGCAACAATTTTTGACTCCTTTTATATGTATATGCAGATACGTAAAATTTAAAAAAATATGTATGTATAACAAAACCACACAAAACTGGAAGTTTTGGGGGAACACGTGTATTACAAGTAAATAATAATATTATTATTACTATAGTGTCCGTATTTTCCAAATTTTGTCTTTTGCAGGTATTGAGGGAATGAAAGTGAGAACCCTGACGAATCTCTGGTGAAGTTTACCGATGTGGTAAGGATTCATTCCATCAGTTCGTCAACCCCTTGGTCTCAGTGATATTAATTTACTATGTGAAGATTGATGAAACGACCAGGTCGGCCTGGTCTAAAGTAACTACGGGGAGGGGGGAAATGAGAACCCCCGGGACACACTGAGCGGTATTGTCAAGTGTTAATGACTAATAAGCTATACCTCCACTTTTAGATATAAATAAAGTAACATAAACAAACCAGCAAATGAATGTCTACCTATCCAACAAGTAATTATTCATTTTCATAACCTCTTTCAGTTAAACGCATCAATCTACTTATTTAAAATCTGATTAACACTTACATGTAAATTAAGCCGAGTACAACCATATCCAACAGCAGATTGATATGGTCTACCATTTTCTAAGATCAACTGGGCATCATCAGAGGATAAAGCTGAGACAAGCGACTCATTGTCATTCATAACACGATCAAGTCGAATCTATAAAACAAAAATAGGAAAATAAAAAAAAATTTATTAATAGATACCATAAATGACGAGGTAGGAATATGATATGCAGTAGTGAAAAGAGCTGGTGTAAAGCTGAATATTTTTTCCTTCACATTCTCCAATGGAACATATGGCTTTAAGCTAGTGGCTTGAAGTTTCTGTAGCAGTGTTTATTTTACAGATGGGGTTGCTAGCCTCATGCCCAACCTTTCCTCTTTTACCACCATTATTTCTGGTTTAGCGAGGTGAAAGAATGCGTCTGCGACCGGGGATCGAACCCCGGACCATGTGCACGGTCGGCGAGCGTCCTAACCGCTATGCCACCGACGCACGTACAGTTGAATGGTAAAAAAAATCAAAAGTCAGAGGAACGGTAAAAACTGAATTACAAGACAAAAGTCTTCGACTAATTATCACTTCGAATAGAGCCTTTCAGACTATTATATATACATTTAACTATGAAACAAAAGAACATAGCTTTTTAGTACTTTGCAGTTCTCTAAACTGAGACAGCTGTTATTCTTAATTAATTTGGGGATATTAGTGTAGTGCAGTTTAGCAATGTTATTTACACCTAATGCTATGGAGTAATATCATTTGTGAAGCGAATCTATGCGCTTCCTGGGTCATCAGTCTTAGATTCGTAAAGTCAACAGTTTATTGTTATTCGCAGGAGTAAAAACAGTTTTTTTTGTTCAGCGAAGAAATTTCTTTTCAACGACTTCATTTTCAAGCTGTACAGTCGTATTTATATTACACAAAAAGGTTATTAAGTGGCACTAAATAATTGCTCAGTCAATATACATACCTGCTCCTGTGGATATGATTATACTGAACGTTGTAAGCGTACTCTCCGAAAACGTGTAGCTGAACACTATCCGGTTTGATCAATGAAAGGCGAACAAAGAACTGCAAAGTCGTCTATTTGTGACCACCTGTTAGAGCCTGGTCATTCAGCCCCACGTGATTCATCTTTCAAAGTTATCTACATGGCAAAATCGAATCGACCCCAAAGTTTACGTTTTCTTCACTTATGCATAACCGAAGCTTTAGATATACATGAACAGAAACCTAAATTATGTGTTCAAAAACGTTTTGTCAAACCCCTTTCTTTATCTTGGTCATAATAATGCTCTTTCTAGTTTTTATTTTACCACTTGAGTTCTTTCCACTTCATTTCACATCTTGATTCTTATCGTAATCGTACTCCCAATTTTTTTTAATTTTTAGACAACACATGACATTTTTAAACCATTTTTGACATCAATCCACTTATAAAGCAATCTTTAAAAATTCTGTAATTTATCCACCTTATAACATTTTAATTATCGTTATTCTTATCGCATATACATGTATATTGACTGAGCAATTATCTAGTGCCACTTAATAACCTTTTTGTGTAATATAAATACGACTGTACAGCTTGAAAATGAAGTCGTTGAAAAGAAATTTCTTCGCTGAACCAAAGGAAAACTATGTTTTTACTTGTGAATAAATTGGTATTTTTCGTGATTCGTAGGAGTCACGAAACAGATGACTAATCACAGCGACTTCAGAGCATATTCCGGCATGGCTTTAGAAGAAAATAGAATCCTCAGAATCTATTAATGGTGAGAACAGACAACCTAGGGACAGGATGGTTACACATCTGTAAAATGTGTTTTTGGAGCGTATCCTAAATTTGTGGAAGAGCCAGTCGGCAATTAGGAAGTTTAGACCAGATTTATGCGTTCAAAGCAACAATTCATAATCACACTAAACCTTCTTTGGTAAACTTTGTTTTGATACTAGGATAGATGAACTATTGCCTCCTTTTTACTGGTTTAATGATCTGTTATTTTGTTATTTTGATGATCATTGTAGTCCTTTTAACTTGACCTAAGTAGTCTACTTTCTCATCCCTTAACTCTTCATTATTTCCGACGAAAAGTTCGTGTTTGTGATCAGATTGTTCGAAATAGGTTGAACGCGGAAATATATTACACGATTCAGACGAATTACGTCTTCCTACTGCTTCGTGTAAATTCATAAAGTGAACTAACTGCTACAAATCGGATTTTTCTTTCATGTTAACTAGATATCATCTTGTTCTTGCTACTGTGATTATGGAAACATTGTGGGATTAATTTTGCCTACAGATTTAGTCCTTCTACTCAGTACTGGCGATACAAGGTCTTGGCCCAACTATAGTTAAAAACAGAGTGACTTGACTTAAACTTCATCTATTTCTAAAACAAAATAAATCATTCTATAGTTTTGGTTTGTAAGGATTAGTTATGTTTTACGAGCTGATCACGGATTGATATCAGTTAGAGAACCATTGAAAACCAGGGAGTACTGGACAGCTGCTGTTTCATCCTAGTTTGGGAATCATCGCCAGTACGCACCCATTGGGATTCGAACCCAGGACCTTCTGGTTACAAGGCAAGCTCGTATACCATTCAGCCACTGGGACCCGATTCAATGGCTCGTGAATTCTAACTTCTACCAAAATAAATCATACAATTACACCAAGAAAAGTATAAAACCAAGTGTCACTCAAGAAAGGACAAACACGTGCCGAATAGTATTGAAGGGACGGAAAAAATGTGAACAGTTAATATTAATTCCATGTACACACAAATAGATTGACAGAAAACAAAGAACACTCAAGGTCACATCACGTGGTGTGAGTTACATTAAATTAACCAATAATCGCGACAGAAAAGGTCACATAATATTGATTAGCTGTCTATCTAACGACCTATCTATCTG